GGGTTTGTTTGTTTTTTTACCTAAAATGAAGCTGCTATGCACATCTTACCAGTTTGACACAAATGAGAGAACCAGTGGAGGAAAATCTGTCAGGAAAATGCCCCAACCCCTTTGCTTTCATAGACTCAGAGAGAAAAACAATCAGATAAAGAGAAGCAGAAAAAAAGAGACAAGTTTCTCTTACAGGGAAGAAGTAAGGATACTCACCCAATAATAACACACACACACATCCATTTTTTCCCTTTTCAATTATAGTTTTTTAAGAGAAGATGTTATACTTTAAAGAGCCCTGAAAGGCTTGGTTGTGGAGGGAGGAGGAATTCAGGCTGACTTCACCGTGTGGGAAGCTCAGCATGCTAAGTTCAAGGTCTTCCTAACTAAACTGGAGACGCTGACAAGATAGCACATACTCCGGAGATGCCATTAAAAACTCTTCTGCTCAACTTTCTTACTTTATGGCCACAACTCATATATTACAAAACTAATTTCAAAGAAATCCTCCAACTTTTAGGAAAGGCTGAGCTGCAGCCAATTTCTCATGTATACCAGAGGGTCAGAAAAGCCACGCAAAAGCATTTGTTCTCTCCGAAGGGGATGAACACCACCTCAGGAGGCCTTACATTACTATTCATCTAGAAATCTCTCTGTTTTGCAATTAGCAAAGCATGGAGGAATGCTTTACAATCTGTTTTTCTTTATGATCCAGAATTCTGCAGCTGTAGTTATGGGGAGATTCCATTCATTTTGCTAAGCAATTTTCTAGAATGTATACAATATTTTTTCAGGTAATGCCATTCAACCACCATTTATCAAGAACAAGCCAAGGGTATACCAAAAGAGGGGGATGACTGTCTTCACATCAGTGTAATTCAGGGACACAAAGCTCTACTTGGCTATGGGTACAAGCCGCCCAGGCACCCGTCCAGAATTCCGAGGGTCTCTGACTCCTCTTCCTCAGCCACTATGACCCAACTGCTCACCAAGGCCAACTGAATCCGTCCAACCCCCCCAACTTCTCTCCTTCCCCACAGCTCTCAGAGTGACCTCGGACCTCAACTCCCCTGCATCAATGCGCACAACAGCCCCATCCCTGGTCTTCCCATCTCTGCCTTGCCCTCTCTGGATATCCTTGTACCACTGAGACTCTGAAAGGAAAAATCTGACTACCTTACTCTGCAGCTAATACTTTTGCAGTCGCTCCCCCTTGTAGCTTCAACGTGAAATGGATCTTAGGTTCCTCACTTGTAAAATGAAGAGAGGGATGCTTTACGGGGTTGTTGTGGGAATTAAATGGCATAATGTAAACAAAACCATTTGTTGAAACGAAACTTCTTACAAATGTAAGAAGTTATTACATAAAAGGAAATGGTAATTTACCAGAAAATTTAGCAATTAAAGTGGTTAAATATAATTACTTGAATAATTAAATTGATGTAATGTATTAGGTCAGAGGCTTGGTGGACTTTATAAAAGCTGTAATGCCAAAGTAGTGAGGTTGATTTCTCTGTACATCACATATCAGATATGTCCGAATCACGGCTCAGGTGGGAAGTGTGCCCATTACCCAGCAGGCCGTCAATGATGTCTAGATGATAGTTTGGTTATAATTCACGTGCTAGCTCTACACAGACAAAGCTATACAGCCCTGACTCTTTTTCTTGGGGCCCTATCAGACTACAAATCTAGGTCTTTTTCAAAAGATTAATCTAGGGGCGCCTGGGTGGCTCAGTGGGTTAAGCCTCTGCCATCGGCTCAGGTCATGATCCCAGGGTCCTGGGATCGTGCCCTACATCGGGCTCTCTGCTTGGCAGGGAGCCTGCTTCCCCCCTCTCTCTCTGCCTGCTTCTCTGCCTACTTGTGATCTCTCTCTCTCTGTGTCCAATAAATAAATAAAATCTTTAAAAAAAAAAAAAGATTAATCTAACGCTGTTTCTCAACTTCATGGAAATCAAAGTGAAATGCCAATACACCCACAGATGCTTATCAGGGCAGAAACTCTCCAAACAGAACAATGAGCTCTGAAGTAAATATTCAACAGTAATAAATAAGTGATAACCAGTTAGTACCTAGTGAGTAATAGCAGCTGTGTATCAGGACCTGGCCGGAGTTTTATTAACACTAGAGACAATTGTGAGTCATGGGGGACAAGTTTTGTGCCCCTGAATGAAATTAAACTTGCAATGTAGTAAGTATTCAATTAAAATGGAAGCATAAGACCAACTTTTTTTGGGCGCCTGGGTGGCTCTGTCAGTTAAGTATCTGCCTTCAGCCCAGGTCATGATCCCAAGGTCCTGGGACTGAGTCCTAGATCCGGCTCCCTGCTCAGTGGGGAGCCTGCTTCTCCCTCTGTCTCTGCCTCTCTCTCTGTCTCTCATGAATTTTTTTTTAAAGACCAACTTTTTTCAAAGGAATTGATATAATAATGAAAACATGAAATGCATAAAACATTAGGCTATTTGAAAAAGTTACCGTTGCTTAATAAATTATATCACAGCTCCCTTGGACTTCAGGAGAGTGTGTTTTGAGATCAACATCACTATCGGGAAAAACCACAAAACCAGCATTACTACTCAGGGCCCAGTTCAACAAGCATGTAGAAGGTAAAAGTGAAGACAGTTGAACATTCTTTTTTAGGAAAAAAAAATAAAAGAGATTTTGTTTGTTTGTCTGTTTTTTACTCATTTAAATATTTGATTTGAAAGTCAGACTCTGATAAACCCACAGGAGACAGTTTTATGAGACTTTTAGTATGAATGAATTTTCCCTCTTTTCCCTGGAGAGATGGGAATAAAAGTGTTTTCTTTCCTCCACTAGTGCCAGAAAGAATATAACATACTACGTGGAACTAGAAAAAGAGAACAGATGGCTGAGTTTTTTATTTTTTCACCACTATCAAATTTTGTGTCTGCTTTCTCCCTGAGCTGCAGAAGTAGCTGTCTGGAGGTCTGTCCGGCTCTGCACCTTTTCCACCCTACGCATTTCCTGCCCACCACCCTCGCTTCCCTCCTATGGACGTGGGCTGACTTCTCCAAGCCAAGATCCCAGGCCGACCTACCCCCTTGGACTTTCAAGCACATTGGCTATGTTCCTATGATGGAGCACAGCTACTAAGTTGTAACTGACCCCCACCCCCGACCCTGGAAAAGTGCAAAATGTAAAAACAGGAGTTTGGAAGAACAGAATGCAGAAAAAGTGGCTTAGTCTCGATCAGGCTGATAAAAGCTAAAAAGAGGTTTCTGACAGCACCCTAAATACAGCTGCTCCACTGTCTCCTAAAACGGGAGCTCTGAATCTGATTATTTTTTTTAAGATTTTATTTATTTATTTGACAGAGAGAGATCACAGGCAGGCAGAGAGGCAGGCAGAGAGAGAGAGAGAGAGCCAAGCAGACAGCCCAGCCCGGGGCTTGATCCCAGGACCCCGGGATCATGACCTGAGCCGAAGGCAGAGGCTTTAACCCACTGAGCCACCCAGGTGCCCCTGGATTTTTTTTTTTTTTTTTTCAAGATCTTATTTATTTATGACAGAGAGAGACAGTGAGAGACGGAACATACACACGGGGAGCTGGAGAGGGAGAAGCAGGCTCCAGGGAGCCTGATATGGGGCTCAATCCCAGGACCCTGGAATCATGACCTGAGCCAAAGGCAGATGCTTAATGACTGAGCCACCCAGGAACCCCTGAATTATGGGTTATTATACGTTACACTTGGGTGAAACACTATCTAGTTGCCTTACTTCAAAAAATAAAAAAAGAATCCTGCCAAAATGTAATTCTGTAGTTTTGTAGTTTTGTAATTCTGTAGTTTTGCCTTCCATGGGAAGCCTCACCATATTGTATATTGTATATTTGGGCTACTGACACGGATGGTGGCTTGTCCTGTTTTAGTTTTTCAATTTGATTTTGTGCCTGAGGTGCCTACTAACTTTACTTTGTGTTGTCTAGAGCCTCAGGGGTTTTTTGGGTTGTTTTTTTAAAATCCCATTCAGTAAGTTTTGGAAATTGGCTGGAACTGATAAATGAGGAAGAACAAAATGACAGGCCATTTTCCTTATTCTTTCTCGGGCATCCATTTCTACCGTCAATTGATATTTCTTTAAGGATTTTGCATTTCTTCCCTCTGAGTATCACTTCATACGTTCATTTTTCGAGGAGTGAAAAAGAGTACCATAAAAACGGTAATTGAAAAATGATTTGTTTTTGCCTTTTGCCCTTTCTACAATATAAGGTTACATGCCAGTTCTTATGTCATTATAATAGTTGCTTAATGAACATGAAATACAACAACATTATTGGAACCAACTCTGTAATATTCAAGGGATGTTAGTAACATTACATATTTAAATCTGGTAAAAAGAGCAGTATTTTACAATTCTGACATATAAGTGAATGCAGTTGTGCTAAAGGACAAAAAAAATCTTATATTCTGTTTTGCTCTTCTAGATAATTAAGACATAGAACTACAATCTTGTCATTCACTTACTCACCCAGCTATGCTACATACCAGCCACTGTTCTAGGTACTGTGGATACATCTGTGAGCAAAACAGACAAGAAGAGACAAGAGTCTCTCCCTGCAGGGAACACACAATTGACCCTGCGTCCTTGAAAATCATGGTTGAAACTGACCCTTAAGAAATGCATTAAAGGGACGCCTGGGTGGCTCAGTTGGTTGGACGACTGCCTTCGGCTCAGGTCATGATCCTGGAGTCCTGGGATCGAGTCCCGCATCGGGCTCCCGGCTCCGCGGGGAGTCTGCTTCTCTCTGACCTTCTCCTCGCTCATGCTCTTTCTCACTGTCTCTCTCTCAAATAAATAAATAAAATCTTTAAAAAAAAAAAAAAGAAATGCATTAAAAATGCATTCCACCAGTTTCCAGGGCAGAAGCTCTTTCTTGGCCCATTTCCTTCATCGCTAGGAATGCCCACTTCCCAGGGGAACAGGGCGGATTTATAACCCACTGCAAAGGGTAACAAACAGAATGTAGAAAATGGAAACCCTACCATTAATAAATATGTAGATCGTAGATTCTGTTTTCTTCTTCTTTGAAGCAGGTATAGATAGATATTTGCAGCTGTAGAAGCCAGTGTGGTTTGCCTGAGCCGCGTTCAAGGTCAGAGTACTGCAAAACTGTTTGCCATGCCTTCCACAGGCCGATTTAGCTATGCTCAGCCTTTTGCTTTCCTTTCTCACTGTTTCAGGCAAAGACCATGAATGGGCTGCTTCCCCTCTGTAATCACAGATAAGAAAACAAAACACAGTTAGGGCTGGGGCCAGGTCCTAAGCATCCATATCATTAGGAAGCACTATTCTGAGGGTCTTGAAATATTAGAAAGCTTTTAAACAACTTGGAAGAGAAACGCAAAGATGTTCATTCAGGCCATTGCTTCCCCGTTTCCCCTCCAATGAGTGAGTCTCTCCTTGCGAAGCTAGATACATGCGGCTTTCACTTTGCAAAGTATAAGAGACCAGTTATGTCCCCACCTTTGTTCTCTGAGAGGCAACCCCTTCTACTCTGCCAGGGAATGATTTGGCCTTACAAAAGGCAACCAGGTTATCCCCAAACCAACACCATCACTTACCTACATTGGAGATACAGTGTCTGGCCTGCTTGCATGACGTGCTGGGTGCCTTTTAAACTCAGTTCAGGACCTTTTAATTTTGAACCTGAACTAGATCCTGGAAAACAAATTTTGGAAATGTATTATTTGCGAATTGTCTTCTCATGGTTTCTTAAAGTCGTATCTTCCCATGAAGGCAAGTTTTAAGCTTTAACTTACTTACATTTGCAAAAAGGTACATGTAATATTAACTTGTCTTAATTCACCAATGTTTTCTAGTCCAAGCCTTGTTCACAAATATTATACATCCTAGTTTACCAAATCATTTAAATAATATCCAAAAACCCAGTGATCCAGAACATTAATAGATTCAAACATATTCCTAAATGCAGTCATGTTAAGAATATAAAGTGACATTAAAAACTCTCAGGACTAAATGTCTAATTAAGTTTAGTGTCATTCAAAACTGAACTTCTACCACGGTGGGTCATCTAGTCCTACAGGCCTGGCTGATCTTCCTTTCCAAATACAAACAAAGTATAGAAGCTTTCTGGGTTCTAGACATAGCTCAATGATTAGCAAGGCCATGATATTTTGGGCGAGTCATTTCTTTTTCTGAACCAGTTTCCTCTTTCAGAAAACCAATTATAGACCAACAATCAGTTTTAGAAGTCTTTTGGTTTGTCTTACATAATCTCCAAGTTCCCTCTATCATGGAAAGAGAAAAAGGGAACTATTCACCCCTACGTGACATTTGACAAGCATACTTCATGGGGAATGTTGTGAGAGAATGAGATAAGCCAAGCGAAGGTGTCTGGAAATCTACACATCTCTATACAACATGTTAATAATATCCACCTTAGGGACTCTGTGTGACACTAGCCAAGCCAACTCTCTCTCCAGAGCTCAGTTTTCTTAACTGGAAGATGAGAGATGGGGCTAGATGACCTTGGATCCCTGACTCCTTTTCTGACATTTCCAGTCCCGTGATCTTGGAGCCACGGATGCTATGGAGGGTGATCCTTTCCTGAAGCGGCCTTGGGCATGAACTCATCATAATAAGTATTAATAAGGATCTCTCCCGCCTCTTCCTCCCTCCACCCCCTCCTCCTACGGAGGCAGCTGCACATGCCTGGCAAAAGCAGGAGATCAGGGGCCCAGGATTAGCAGGGACAAGCGTGAGGGAATGGATATTCTTAGAAGAAAAGTTAAGCCAATCCTGGAGCCATTCTTTGGGAATACTTTTTTACTTAAAAAATAGGTTCATGCAGTAGAATTCAAGAAAGAAGACCGAGCTGAATCCTCTAGGCTTTTATGTCAGATCATAGATCTGTGAGATGAGATACACATGTCAAATTCCACGGTTAAGTCTAGCTGTGCTCTCTAGTGTTACTTGTGGGTCCTAGTATCACAAGGAAAATTGGACTCTGTTTTTAAAATATGCATTTGAAGTTTCATTTCTCCATTTCCTAGCTCATTGGCCTTGGCCTGTTGTCATTGCTGCTCCTTAGTAACTTCAGGCATAAAACTGGAAAACCCACGATCTACCTTGCAGACGTGGTGTGTGGATTCAGAGCTCGGTCCTCTAAGCGAAGGTGCTGCCCTGGTGTGGGGGAGATGCCCAGTCACTGCCATCTAGCAGAACTGCTTCCCCCACTTCCTGCCAGAGAATATTTTGCTGAGATGTAATTGCAAAGATATTACATTAATTTAAGCTTCATTTCTGATGTTGCTGGTGGATACAAATTAACATAAAAGTAACTTTTATACACAATAGGTCCTGGTATCAAATTACTGCTAGGAAAAAAAATGACTTGATATTAACTAATTTAAATTAAAATCACTGTTTCATATAGATCTAATTGGTCCATCAAACAACCCCAGAGAACAAGTCAACCCATTCAGGTACTCAGCAAAGCATTTTGTACTTTATTCATCTTTATGAGTTTCCTGAGGCAACAGAGAGCTCAACTTTAGTGATCCACAGGAACACTAAGATTTTCTACAGCCACAGCCAGAAACTGATAACACCTATCCTGAAAAAATTTCCAGGCCAAAATAGTTTCTGCCCTTCTTTATGGCATGGAATTCTGGAGATTTCATTGAGTAGTTGTTCATGGGCTGGAAAAAATCCAGCAAAGTTCCCTGTGTAAAATTCTGGCATGACCTAGAGAGGTCTCTGTGGTTTATATGGAGATGGTGTGCTTTCTCACCCAGGAGAAGCCAGGGGAAAGAAGCCTCCCTTTTCATGACATGAGGTGAACCCCAGTGCCTGCTAGTTCATTTCCAAATCATATGAATCTTTATCAGCACCGTAGAAAACCAATACTCCTGACCCTTATCAGAAAGAAGCTTTGACCTCAAAGACCCAAATCACAGCCATCCACACGCTCCTCTCTGCACTCCCCATTCCATCCTTCCAACAAAAGAAAGCAACAAAACTGACTGGTTGGTTAAATAAGACACAGAAAATACTAGAGTTATTGGAAAGTTTAGGGGGAAAATGCTAAGAAAACTTTTTTGCTATATAGTCTCCACTGACATCAGTGAATTTTGCACTCAGAATGAGGAAGCTAGGTTAAAGAAGTTCATCAAACAAAGGAAAGGAGAAGTAGAAGGAAACTATTTCCAAGTAACTGGACACTGTGAGTATACCATCATTCTTCAATTAATAGGAAACTAGAATCTCATAAAAATTAATGGAGGTGCCAAGACTACAGTTTAACAGGAAAACTCATAGGGAAAAAGGAAAGTGAAATATTTATTCCTCAAATGCTCTGAAGTCACCTTAGGTCTTAAAACATTTCTTTAAAGCAATTGAATGTCCATACCCCTACTTGAGTAATGAAGATCTGACTAACATTTTTTGAGTATCTACTGTAGGTCAGTATTTCCTCCATTTTGGTAGTGATTTTTGCAAAAATGTAAAATGTAAACATGTACATATCCATAGCCACGTGAAAACCAGTTTGCTCTCTGCAGCAAGTAGCTCTGAGTCACACTGCCCAATTAGAAACAAATCCCCAGGTTACTTATTTCCAAGGGCAGAGTGCTAGAACCGAATAGGAGTTCTCCCCCTGTGATGCTCAGATGGGGACTGGAACTTTCTACTGTTTGCCATGGTGGCCTAAAAGTCTGGTTGAACCAAATAATTGTCCCTTGGTGATTAGGTGGTCTATGAACCACTGTTTCCATCAAAGTCCACTACAATATAGAGCAGTCTCCCCTCATCTGCAGGGACACATTCCAAGACGCCTAGTGGATGCCTGAAACCACAACAGTACCAAACGCTCCAGGTACTGTGTTTTTTCCCATATATACACACCTGTGATACAGTTTAATTTATAAAGTTGGCACAGTAAGAGATTAACAATGATAACTCATAATAAAATAGACCAATTATAATCACATACTGCAATAAAAGTTATATGAAGGCTTCTCTCTTTCTCAAAATATCTTCTCGTACTGCACTCTCCTTCTCCTGATGAGGACGGGAGATGATAAAAGGCCTACGTGATGACACAAAGTGAAGGGGGACGACGTGGGCACGGTGCAGCTATTAATGACCTTCTGACCTTACGTCTGAAGGAGGATCACGGCTTCTGGGCCACAGCTGACTTCAGGTGACAGAAACTGTGGAAAGCAAAACCACACAGGGGGTGGGAGGGATCGCTGCCGTTAAGACAGGCAAAGAGATGTCCTTCTGTCAGGAGAATTATTATTTAAATAACAAAACAAAAAACCATGCAGACCATGGAAGTGGGCTTTACCACATGCTTCATAGAAAAATTAGAATCAGCTATCAAGCATTGCGGTGCAATAGCCCTAAAAAACCAGTATGTGTGCAGGGACGTAGGTGAACCCTGAAACGGGTATTATTCTTGTCTGAATATTTTCTTCACTGTCATTCTGTTCTGTATTGTCTGGCAGGTTGAGAGAGAATAGAACATTATGACTCTTTGACAAAAAAGTCCTTCCTTCCCCACACGCCAAACCTCTATTGGAATGCCCACATCAAGATGGTTCCAAAACACGGCTTTCCATTCTACCTTCATTTCATCATGCAGAACAGAGCTCTTTCTTGGACTTCGGGGGGAAGAGTGAGTACAGTTCCAAGTAAAGTACGGCTTTATTTTGCAATCAAAGCCAAACCCAAATGAGCCGGGGTCTTTCTTCAGAGCCACCCCACTGGATCCTGACAGAGCAAACTTGCCCTAGGTTGCTGGGAACCAGACAGCCTTGCCTATCACTTTTAAGACTGAAAGAAGATGCTTCTTAAGAGTTGGACTAAAAGCATCATTAGAAAACTGATGTTTATTGACCTAAGCAAAAACAGTTGAATATAACTTCAAGACAAACCTCTTAGCCCCTCTTCCTTCCAGATGCCACCCCTCCTGTCACCTCTACTAAGAAAGGGCCTTAGCTAAAGATAAATCATGAAACATCTACGTTTTTTCCTTTTTGATTTAGAGCCAGTCGTCTCCCCAATTCAGATACTAGCTTTGCTGTGGCCATGGGCATGCACTTAAGCCTCAGATTCTCCACCTGCCAATGGGGGCACGGGGGATGGGGGATGGTCTCAGATTTTTAGAATTCCGTCCAGCCTAAAAATACTATGATCCTGAGATTACAGTGTTTGATACCAATGTGTAAGTTAGAAATCACGTCAAAGAAATAATTATGACTAATAAAAGGACAAATAACCCAATTTAAAAAATAGACAAAGGATCTGAATAGACCTTCTTCCAAAGAAGATTTATAAATGGCCACCAATAAGCACATGAGCAGATGCTGGAAAAAACGCAGGAAAAATGCAAATCAAAACAACAGTAAGATAGCACTTCAAACGTCCTAGGTTCGATTAAATGAAAAAAGACAGACAAGAACAAGTGTTGGTGAAGATGTGGGGACACTGGAGCGCTCACATGGTGTTGGTCAGATTATAAAATGGTACCATCACTTTGAAAAACAGTATGGTGTTTATTCAAATGGTTAAACACTGGTTAAACATACAACCCAGCGATTCTACTCCTAGGTATCTAGGTATCTATCCAAGAGAACTAAAAACATATGTCTACATAAAAACTGGTGCACAAATGTGTACCTACAGCAATATTA